TCTGGGCTGGCCCTGAATGGCCAGTCATGTGACCCAGGAGAGGCCAAGGAGACTTTTGTTCAAACTGTGGGGGATGAGGAGGTGTCTCCTCTTTTTTCATGAAGTCACTGTGTCATCAGGACCCAGCCTAGAGCTGTGGCTGACACCACACCAGCCTGGGTGGTTAAGAGAGCCAATTCTTGTAGCCAGTGTAGCCCCCAGATCCAGCCACACCTGAAGCCACATACCCGTAAGCTTCTCTGTGAAATTCGGCTAATCAATGTTCTTTTTGAATAATCCATCTTGACTGCATTTCTGTCATCTGCACCTAAAACAGTTCTGACTAAAACAAGATCTCCCAGCCAGGAAGTGGCAGAATTTGGATCAAAGCCCAGCTCTGCCTGATTCCAAAGCCCAGGATCTTAACTACTCTATTAAACTGGCATCGTCCTCTAATCTTTACGCCAGTTTCTAGCAGCAACCCAGGCCCATCAATAATCCTAACAGCTGACATTTGCTCGGCGCGCGACGGCCCAGAAACGACTCTCTCACATCGTCACGTTTTGTAAAAAACAAGATACGCTTCCCATCCCATCCCATCGAACAGCCTCCTCGGGGGTACAAGCCAGTGGTTCTTAGTATATTCCCAGGGTTACACACCACAGCTATGACCTAATTCTAAAACATTTTCATCGCCCCAGAAAGCACCCAGTACCCATCAGCAGTCTCTCCCCACCCCGCCTCGCCTCTGCAGCCACCAGTCTGCTCTGTCTCTACGGGTTTGTCCATCCAGGACACAGCCCATCACTCCCAGCTCACAAGAACCTGGCAAGAGAGCACTAGAGAGGGCACCCGACAGCACAGCGGCTCCCAGCCAGCTTCCAGTCTGAGCATCCATGCTCGCTAGCTGTGTGACCTCGGGCAAGCGACTCAACCTCTCTGAGCCTGGGTTTCTTCATCTGTTGTCATGAGGAATAAACGTGTCACTACATCAGGAGGTGCTCAGTGAGATGGGGGATGACACTCAGGGCTTTGGAAATGCCAGTTGTTTTTACTGTCATCGTCCCATGCCACCGAGGAAGATACCCAGGCACAGAGGAGTTAAGGGGTGTGTCCATGGCCACACAGCTGGTGGCTGCTGGGCCTAGGTCTCCTGACCCAGTCCCCTGCTTTTCCATTACGCCACCCTGGCTGAGCTGCTCCTCCACCGAGACACGGCTCTCCCCACACTCTGAGCCAAACTACTTGTGAAAAAAACCAGGGCTGCTGGCCAGGCAGGAGGGAGGGGAGGGCGGAACCATGAAGTCATCTAATCAGGGTCCTCAGAGGCAGCTGCCTTGGGCTGGGGGCCCTGCCCCGGCCCTGTCCTAGCTCTTGCAGAGTTCCCTGTGGGGGCGTATGGAGGGGCTGGGGCAGGGCTGGGGCAGGACCCAGCCAGCCCTCGGGGCTGTACAAAGCCTACGGCTGCCCAGCCTTTAGAAGCTTTGCCTGGACAAGTGCTGAGGCAGCTATTTACTACAGAAACCCCCAATTACGCCTGGTTATGTCCAGCAGGGAGGAGAAAGGAAGCCGCACTCCTAAGTTCTGGTAGAAATAAAAAGTTGAGTCAGAGCAGGAAAGAGGAGGGAGCGGAGGCGCTGGGCCAGGAAGGCCTGCGATCATACCCTGGCTAGCACAGTCCCCAAGGATGTCACCTTGGGCGAGTCCCATCTGGCAGAGACAGGTGACAGCTAACGATGCACCAGGCACGCCTCACTGAACTGTCACGGGAAATGCCGGAGAAAGTGCTTTTGTCCCCATTATGCAGAGGAGGAAACTGAGGCTCAGAAACAGAGGTGACACCACACTGAGCCCTGAGAAGGCAAAGCTGAGAAGGCCAGGTCTGCGTGACCCAGGAGTCGAGTCCGAAGCCTCTGGCTACACTGGCAGAGGGACTGGCAACACAGTCGGCTTTGCCCTGGTCTGGCTCAAGGTGCTTCACGGTGTCACTGATGAATATGCACATAAGTGTCACTCCCTCCTCACCCATCTCCTCCTCCAGACGCCACACCACCACCGCCGACCTCCACCTCCCCAGCCCCATGGACAGGCTGGTGGGCGGGCTGGGTTGGACTGTGGCCTAGAATCCCAACACACTCAGATTCTCTCTCGGAGACTGGACTCGGCACCCAGAAATCCCAGTGCACTGACCGTTAAACTCAGGCTGAAGGCGCGGGCTGAGGAGCTAATGGGGGTGTGGGCCGGTGGGAGGTGAGGTCGCTGCTCCAGGGAGGCCGGCAGGGCCACGGCACAGGCCTGGAGGGGATGCTGGGGCCACACTGATGCTGGAAGCCATGGCCTGTCAGGGTCTCTGTGGGGCTGGCTGCATTTCCTGCTCTGGGATCCCTGGGACACCCCTGCCTCTCCCCATAAATCTGAGCCTGCCGCTTTCTGGGTCTAAGACCTGTGGGTGTGAGTAACCCAAGGGAACAGTCATGCACCCCAGGGCTCCCTACGCCCTCTGCTTCTTCAGGAACGGGCCAGGTGGGCCAGAGCCTCTGAAGGCAGGGTGTGGGTGGCCCTGCCTGTCTAGACCCTCCCGGTGAGAAAGTCAGTTTAGCAACCTGCAAAGATACCTGCCCCGAAGTCACTCCTGGACTGCAGACCTGCTTCATAAAGATGCGTAAGCCACCCAGTTTGGGTGCAGGATGTGGAGGGTCTCTCGGCCATTCTCACAGGATCCTGCCTCCTGCTACCCATGGATGGCCTGAAAGGCACCGGGCAGGGCCAGCTGAGTTCCAGCTGGACTGGCAGCCCGAGAAACACGCTGGGTGTGTGTGCCCAAAACCCGAGGAGGGAGAGATGGAAGAGCAGGGACTGCAGACTACGGCGTGACTGTGCTCCATGGGGCGTGGCCCCCACCACGTCTCTCTTTCCAGCAAGTGCATGTGTCCTCTGGGGAAAAAAAAGGAGAAAAACTCCCATCTCCCTTCCTCCCCAGCGTCCAGTGTCTGCTCCTGCTGAGTCCATGTAGAGGGTACCACGGCGCCGTGAATGTGCAGGTCTTTGCAAGGGCCCAGGTCACTGCGGGGCAGAGCACGGTCTGTATGTGACACGTGCAAGCGTCTGCCGAGTTCATTACGCTTATGGTGATTAGGTAACTGGTGTCGACTAGCTTACGGAAGCGGCAACACACGGCAGCTCGCTAGGTAGGCGGTCGAGATTGCTCTGGTGATGGGAGAGAGATTAGAAGCCCATTTAACATAATGGGCTTCTTCCCCCTTTAAAATAACAGACCCGGGCTCTGCAAATCCCCTCGCCAGCACTTTCCAGAGTGACCAGGTCCCCGCGGCCAAGGGTGCCTGTGACTCATATCTAACCCGAGACTATGTAGGGTGGAGACAGGACGGTGTGCAGAGGCCAGGGCCTGGCTCCTGATGGCCCAGGAAGATCTACTTTACTCTGACCACCTGCTCGTGAAGCTACCTTTGTCCAGGTGTCAGTCCCCACCTGTGTGACTTCGCCCACTGGCTGTCATCGTCCTCCCTCCTAAGGATTGGCACAGATGCACTATGACACCCGACAATGTGTCTGCCAGGGCTTCTGAGAAACGACTTGTACTCTGGGCTGCTGAGTGCAAGCCAGAGCTACGACAGCCATTTTGCAACCACAAGTCATGGGACACGAAGTCAGCACCATGGAACGTGGTGGGGAGAAGCCGGTCAGGCGGCACTGAGAAAACCCCGATGAAGCCTGCACGGTCTCTTCCCCTAGGTCATTACGTAACGCCAGTCCAAAAGCCCTCGGTCTGCTTAGGCAGTTGGAGCTGGGTTTCTGTCCCTTGCAACAGAAGCACCCGAAGTGATACACAGCAGACAGGAAGGCGGCATTTCAGGGTGGAGACGTGAGCTGGCCTGGGGGCTACGTGGCCCTCACCATGAGGCAGGGAGCAAGCAGCACCAGTCGGAATGCCCAGCGAGTCCTATCGCTCCTAAGGCCTTGCGACTTCCCACACCTGCTTTCGATTACTCATCTTGGGAGACATTGAGATGAAGCTACCGGTCTGTGGATTATTACCCTAGTGAGGACAGGCTTACACTGAGCTGCCCGCTTACTGCCTGACGGCCCACGGGATGGCGGCATGTGCGGTGTGCATTCACGCTCACTCACTCAACAAACATTCGCCGGACGTGTGCTATGTGCTGGGCCTTGAATTAAACACTGAGGGGAGAGAGGAGGAAGACAGGAAGACATGGTTTCTGTCCGTGACAGACACAGTATAGACGTGGAGACAGACAAGCAGATGACTGTGACAGGGAGAGCTGTGTAGGGTTCTAGGGGTGCAGGACCCTGGGGAGGGGGTGAACGTGGGGCCCTTAGAGCACTGTGGGCATTTTAGGAGCCCACCATGGGACCTGGGGGCACAGGTTAAGGTAAGACCAGAGATCCAGGCTGTCTTCAGAGCTGAACGGACCCAAGAAACAACCCGAGCAAGCTCAGAACACGGAGCTCACCAGCAAACACCACTGTCGTTCCAATCATGTTCAGACCTAACTTGAGAGCCTCCTAGGAATTTCAGACAGGTAGCCTGTACCACTGTGGAACAGTCAGCAAGAGCTTTTTCTCTAACTGAACAGCAGAGCCTACAGCAAGAAAGTATATCCCGGGATCAGCAGGTGGCATAACAGCTATGTTGCTGGACTCCCATAGTGTTGACTGCGGTTCAAGTCCTGGACCCGATGGCGTGTGTCTGCCTGCCCAAGATCCTGAGAGGAGAATGGAAGAGAAGGGATTGTGGCATGGGCATCCCCTTTGGGGCCTGATTTCTCACTTTCTGTCTCTCTCTGTCTTTTGGCTGAGTGCACATGTCCTATAGCAAAAACCTCTCCAAAAAAAAAAAAAAAGAAAGTATATCCCGTATGCCCCCAAAGCAACAAATGGTTCTTAAGTCTAGGAAACAATCTGGACTCTCAAGTCGCAGTAGAAAGCAATTCCAATGAAACGTTCCTGCCCTGCAGCTCAGCCGAGACCCAAATCCTTACCTGGAGGTCGAAGAACTTGCTGTAGCGACGGTAAATGGCCTCAGTGGAGCCGCTGGACCACGTGACCCGGATGATGTAGACCTACGAGAAGGACAGAGGGAAGGGCGTTAACACCGGGAGGGCCTTCATCCTCGGAACCCGGTGGGGGCCACTGTCCAGAGTCGGAGAGACTCGGGTGTGGGCCTCGGCTGGACAAGTCCCAGCTCTCCCTGAGCCTCAGCTTCCTCCCCAACAGAACGGGTACGACCCCACCTCGAGTCGCGCAGAGCGTCAGATGACATCAGGGTGGGACGCGTTAGCATGCGCACGCTCAGGAGAAGGTGCTATTCTGGGCACTGTGTGGATTTCTTGCTCCCCACTCAACTCAGAGCCACAGGGCTGGCTATTTTTCCAGGAGTCCTGGAGACCTGCCGCTCTCAGCCTTAGTCCACCAAGCTGTGCCATCGGGCCACTTCCACCATGGAGGATTCACGCCAGGTCGTTTTTCCCCCGAGTCCTGGGTTCCCTATCTGTGATCTGCTAATGGCACAGCTTTCTCTATGCCCCTGGGCGGTCTGGAGGAATTAAGGATGCACTTGAGGATGGAGAGCTATCTTATGAACCACTCGGCCCTGTTTCCCACCTGTCAGGGGTCATGGCACGTGAAAAAAGCAGCCAAAGAAGTCTTCAACAAGTTCATGGAACAATAAACCTGTACCTTAATTCCTTTATTCACCAGCATTCTTAAGTCTCCCGTAAACCAAAAATTCAGTCACATCAGGGAGGCCGCTGGAGGCCAGAGGCACCTGCCAGGGGTGTGGTAGTCATGGACACCTACGGGCTAAGGGGTCAGGGACCAGAACACCTGTAACCCATTCCTGGCCAGGAAGTCATCTGTTGTTATAGGGGCCAGCAGGTGGCATAGTGGCTAAGGTTCTAGACTCCACATGCCCAGCTGTGCAGTGTGAGTCCCAGACCTGGTGGCTTGAAAATCATGCTGGTGTATGTGTGTGCACACCCCAAAACTCCAGGAGAAGGGAGAAGGGAGTGTGGCGTGGGCATTCCCCCAGGGGGTAATTTCTCATTCTCCCTCTCTCTATCCAATGAGTGTACGCTCCTTACGGCAAAAAAACAAAAGATACAAATGAAAGCTTTTTGGAAACAGAAAAATGCTGCATAAACGTTAAGGGGACTCAGCTGTTAACAGCCATGGGGGAACACGGGCAGAGCCCCTGTTCTTCATCAACTGAGGGTTAGCCACAGAGATAACTCATACGTGAAGACAAGACGTGAGTAGTGGACATCTTTCTCCCCCCAGTACTGATAATCCTTCCTTTCACCCAGAGCACTGCCTCCTCCTGGAACCCTCCTTTTCCACCTTCAGCCCAATCCCTCAGGCACAGAGGTGGACATGCTCGCCATCCATGGTGATTGGCTGAAGGGTGAGCATGTGGCCTGGGCGTGGCCAATCAGAGCCAGTAAGAGTTAGCCCTGAGACTTTTGCTCCAGCTCGTCTGCTAGACCATTAGGAGGAGGAACTGGGGGGAGGTATCTTGTCTTTTGGGAGGTGCCTGATGACACAGTCTGACCCTTACGGCCCACCCTACTTGAAGCTACTCCTGGACTGTCCAGTTTCCCAGGCCAGTAACAGTTCAGGCCACAGCTCCTCTTGTGAACTGTTTTTGCAGAAACCCATTTAAGCTGGATCTCTGACACATGGAATCTAGCCCTGATTGATACGGGAAGGGAGGCGAGAGAGACCTCTGAGGCAAGGAGTGGACACAAAATTCAGCCAGCAGAAAAGGAGGGCAGACCGTGGTGGAGGAGGACAGAGGGGGCAGGGACCAGCTCAGGGTGCTGGGGGATTGCCCTGGACAGTGCTTCCACGGTGGTTTCAGCCAGAGCAAGGGCGTTCTTACTAGGATGCTCACCCTCACAACAGAAAAAGGTAGAACAGCTTTGGGGGCTTGAGCCAGAGCCCGGCATGCATGTCATGGACTTAGAAGAGAAGGTTCTCCAGGTGAGTGGAGAAAAAGATAAGACAAAACAGAAAGTAGCCTTGAAAGTCAAACTGAGCAGCTCACCAGAAACGAGCTCTCTGAATCCAACATGGATTTTGTTCAAAGATGGAAGAGAGAAAGGAATTTGGGCCCAAATCAAGAAGCTCTAGACTCACATAATCTCCTAATCTGAGTCTCGCTTTCTTATCTGCAAATGGGGCCAGTCTTGAATATTTCACAGAGCTGAGATGATTATGGGGGCAGAGCTCTGAGCTCCTTGCCAGCAGAGAGGAAATGCCCAGGAAATTCAAGGAATGATGGTGCCCTGTGCTCCAATTCTCCAGTTCCCGCTCACTTGCGCGTGCGCTCTCTCTCTCTCTCTCTATATATATAGGTTAGAGTTTTTTTTTTTTTTTTTTTCTATAAGGCTCATGTGCTCGCTGGAGATAGAGAGAGACAAAAAACGAGAAATCACCCCCAGGGGGATGACCACACTGCAATCCCCTCTCCTCCATTCACCTCTTGGGATTTTGTGCACACATGCACGCGCATCCTGCGTGTTTCAAGCTGCGAGGTCTGGGACTCAAACCACGACTGACCACGTGGGAGTCCAGCACCTTAACCACTATACCACCTGCTGGCCCCAAAACAGGTTATTTTGACACCAAGGACTGAGGCCCCCTACCCCCGCCCCTCTGCATTGTTTATGAGTGCTGTTTCTAGGCAACCCCAGAGAGTCAGGGACAGGCCGGGTTGTCCTTCAAGAGGCAGTGGCAGCCGCTGCTCAGGAAGGTCATTTTCTGATGAAAAGAAGCCTTCTTCAAAATGACCTGAAGGGCTATTGAGCTTAACCCGACTGAGTTTATATGGAAAGAAGACTGAATGTGCTTCTGTCCCTCGACCCTGCTCTGCCACGGCTCCAGCATGGAGGCAGTGGGAGCAAAGAAGCAGGGGCTGGAGAATGCTGGCAGGCCAGAGGAGCAGGACGGAGCGGGGGGTGAGGAGGCCGAGGCGGCGGAGGCAGGAGAGAGGCCGGCAGGCCAGAGGCCAAGTGCATCCTGCTCGACCAGGGGGAGGCGTGTGACAGGGCCCGGTCCCAGCGTGTCTGTTAAAGTGCCCAGACAGCCCTCCTGCCGCTGCGTGGGAAGTCCGAAGAGCGGCAGGGACACCAGAAAGGAGGCTGGCCCCATTGGCAGGGAGTCAGAGCTCAGCGGGACCCCAGGGCTGAGCCTGACCAAGGGCTTCACCTTCCCGAGCGGTCCACTGAAGCCAGAGAGGAAAATACCACCAAAGGTGTACCAAAGGTCCTGCCACTGGGGCTGCTCAAGCCAAGTTTGGATGACCATTGTCAAGGACGATGAGGGTTAGAAGAAAAAGACTGAGAGATCATCACATATTTTATGTTTTCCTTAAAACCAATATGAAAGGGCACTCCCATAAATGGAAAAACGAATTCTGCTTACAGGATTCATTGATCTGTTTACGATGTTCAAAGCCCTGTACTATGGTTCGAAGACTCTGCGAGCCTAAGTGGCTTACTGGAATTAACCTCTGAACCAAACTGGGTGGCTGTTCTTCCCGGCACTGAGCTAACTGCAATGGAACGGTCCGCATGCGGGCCCGTGGCCTGGTCCCGGGTGGGGGGCTGGAAAGGGAGTCCGTGCACCGGGTCCCAGTGCCAGCCCTGAGCCGGGTGAGACCCACAGAGTACTAAGCTCTCGGGCCACAGGGGCCTTCTCTGAAAAGAAGACAAGAATGTCCCTCGAGGATGAGCCATGGTGGAGGGGCTTTGCCAGGCCTGACACATTACGGAGGCGGTCTGTGTCCTTCTGGGGTCAGGCTGCTTCGTGCTTGGGTGGGGCCCTTCCCTTCTTTTGGGATCTGCACCCTGACTTCCCTCCGTCTGTGAGGAGGTGGGCCTGTCTCCCAGGCCTGGCCAGCCCCAGCCTGGCCCTGACCACAATGATGGCTCAGTGGGCACCTGACCCAAGCCAAGCTGGTGAGACCCCATCCTGGGACTTTCGGAGGCACACAAGGAACAGACTTCAGTTCTCACTGCCGTGGCGAACTGCGGGAGACGTGCACCAGGAGCTTCTCTGTGCAGAGCCCCCGTCACACGGAAGAGAGTGGAGCCACAGCAGAGAGGAGGGGGAGGCCCTGGGATGTCATCAGGACCCCTGGACCCAGCCTGAGCCCTAGACATTTCATGGATGCAAGCCACAAAGCCCCTTTCTTGCTTACACCAGTTACTTTTTGCTACTTGAAACCCCAGCAACCTTAACAGACCAGACCTGGACTTTTAGATAATATCACAGCCCAGGTAACACGGGGGCGCTCGGTATTAGGGACGCTCGGTGTTACGGAATTAAAGCAAAAGCTTAAGGTGGAAACAACCCAAGTGTCTGCGGATGGACCCGTGCTATTCAATGGTTTGAAAATATCCCCCTAAAGCACGAGTGGGAAACTTGATCCCCAGTGCAACGGTGCTGGGGGATGGGACCTAATGAGAGGTGACCAGGGGGTGAGGGCCCTGCCCTTGTCACTTGCTCAATGATGCTACTGTGGGAGAGAATTCCAAGTGAATTCCTGCTCATGCGAGTGGGTGTGGCATTGAGGGAGTGGGTTTTCTCTAAAAGGACAAGTCTGGCCAACCTGTGTCTCTCTCTCCCCCTCACTCTGACCTTTGTCCTTCTGCCATGCAATGATCAAGTGAATTCCTGCTCATGCGAGTGGGTGTGTCATTGAGGGAAACCTGTGTCTCTCTCTCCCCCTCACTCCGACCTTTGTCCTTCTGCCATGCAATGAGGCAATGAGGAGGACCTCGCAATTCTGGCCCCTCAGTCACGGACTTCTCAGACCCCAGAAATGTGAGCCAGTCTCTGGTACCGTTACGAGAGACACAGGTAAGGAAACGGAGGCTGCGTACGCAATGGAATATTATCCAGCCTAAAAAGGAAGGCGATTCTGACCCGCCTTGCAACACGGACGAACCCTGAAGCCACCGGGCGGTGTAGGTAGGCGGTCACAAAAAGACAAAATGCCACAAGAGCATATGCAGTACACAGAGCAGTCCCGTGTAGGTACCACAGGGAGGGCGGGGCG